TTCGCTTATCCAGAGTTCTGCCAGTTGGTTTATGCTGGATAAGCGATACTCTACTGTACAAGTATTTTAAAATCAGAAAAAAGCAGAAATCCAAAACATTTCTGGTCCCAAACATTTTGGACAAAGGATACTCAATCTGTATCTTGAAATTGAAACGCTAACATGATTTGGACCTTTCTAGCTCAGCACAATAATTTCACTGTCTTTTGTGCACTTTTTAAAGTGATGCAGTTTTAGAAGGCCAACTCTAATGTTTGTAACATCTATAGTGCTTCATTCTTAGAAAAAAGACTCTAATTGTTTCTTCTTCCATATTCTTCAGGGTCAGCAAACTACTGTAAGTGATCCTGCTGTTAAAATGACATTAATGTGAAGCTTGCTGTTTCTGGTAGCTTTCCACGGCCAAATAAATTATTATTTTATTAAATGATTAATAACATGTATTAATATTTCTCGACTCTAATTACAAGGGCATGTCAAATAAATAGCACTTTTAATTATATATCAGGGCATTTATTTATTAGGTAAATGCAACCAGTATTATTCTTTATACTCCTTTATGCACCTGTGGACTCCTATTAGAGATCACTGTCAACCAGCTTTATAGTTTAAATTGTTCACTTGGAGATGAAATGGACCAAAGATTTACTCTAGAAATTTTATTAGGATCAGCACTAAAATTCCCTAAAGGCCACCCATGCTGGACACTTCCTATTTTAGAATGGGATGTCCCCCTCTGCTCATTTCATAAATTACCATAAGAACTAGAATAAATAAAAGCATTTTCAGCCATACAAGTCATGACTGTGAAATGGATACTTACAGTGTGAGAATGGTGCAAATGAGCATGCAGATTAGCAAGCAATTTCAGGAGATTTGAAAACATGCAGTGAGCCATTGACTTTGCAGTTCCAATGAGTATGCATTTCATGACTTTGAGAAGGGATCCTATTTCACTGTAAAGCACACACTGAAGCATAAACTTGACTTTTTCCATCTTCAGAAAGAACTGGTAAGGCTTATTGGCTGAAACCTACTAGAGCCATGCTAGCTGAATCAATGTGGGCAGTTGTTGAATGTCCACAGAATTATATGTGCTGCATATTTGTTTTACTTCTTCTAGACCAGTGGTTCCACAACCTGTGGTCCGTGGATCACTAGTGGTCCACAAGAACTAAAATATGGTCTGTGGCCTCACTGTTACTACACCATTGCAACAAGAGCGAGTGCTCTCACAAAACCCTCTTATAGTGCCAAGGCTTAAACATAGTTTTCTGTGGGTGAGCAGATGGCAACTACTGGTTGGCATATATTGTGTATCGGAAACTGGAGCTGATGTGGTCTAGCCAATGCAATTTTCTGAATCAGCATCCCAAATAACCAAACTAAATCTAAAGCTAACCAAAAACTGATTTGTAACCTTTTTGGTACTCATGTTGGAGAATGGTCCCTGGTCAAGTGGTCCCTGGTCAAGTGGCTCCTGGTCAACAAAAGGTTGGGAACCATGGCCCTAGACCTTGGTGGGTTGTGGTAACCCACTGGACTAATTGAAATATCACTTCTAGCATTACTTTAAGGCCATTACAAGCCTAAAACAGACCCAAGCCTTTTGAAAGTCAGCTTTAAATGGCTAGCTCCATGCAAGAGTAAAACAACTATTCCGGATGTTAAACTCAAAATAAGATGGAATGGATTCCCCACTGGCCTACAATAGTGTAGATTAGAGTAAGGATCTTGGATTATACTCCATTTCTGAAACCCTTTGCACGCAATGGGTTCTACCATGTGACGCTTGTCCCCTTCTGTCAGCAATCTGTTGTAATCCATCTGCAAACCGTCTTAGAAACCGAGTAATTGCACATGGGATTCTAATCATATCTTTTGATTTAAAATGGTTCAGAGGTGCTCTTTTTATGTGTGATTGTAAAATCAGTATGCATTCTGTCAGCTGTGCTGTGACACCTCCTTTGGGAGTGTGTCTGGGGTCAGATTCTGCTGACCCTGGGAGTCTTCGTGATGGAAGGAGCTGCAATTTCTCTTTCAGTGCTTGCCGAGGAAAGATCTCAGGAATTAGCAAATCAGTAATTGATGACCTTCCTTTTATTTTTTCTTAATTATTACTCAAATTTGCATAATTTCTTCCTGCCATTGTATTGCACCAAAGGGTAGTTATCATGGAAACCTAAATGCAATATCTTCTAAAATCTGATAAGAATGGTTGCTTGAGACTTCCAGGCAACATCATTGCACAAACTTAGATATTTGTTTTTTAACAACCCCCGTGACATTGGGAGGCATTTGAACGGACTGGGAGGAGCCAGCCTTCTGTGGTGTCATGAATCAAAGTGCTGTATTTTCAAAAGGTAGAAACTGGGTGTGATAGGGGTTGTATGCATCCTGTCTCAATATGCATTCAGTCCTTAAAAACAACTGGATGCATACTAATATTACCATTTTAGTTGTCCTAAGAGACAGTGCAATACCCTGCCTTCAGAATGGCATTTTCAAACAAAGTCACCGTTCTCCCTGCTTTCTTTTGGATGGAGAAGCTTAAATGTTTTGCTTTCCTTTTCTCCCAACCATTCTTCTTACAGCTCTCTTCATTGAGTTTTCTTTTTATCTAGTTTAAGGTTACCACTTTGCCCCTTATCACTGGCTTTGGAAGTTGCGTATATATTTTTCTCATTGCACAAGATGACCTATTTCTCCAGTAACCTCAACACCCTTTCCCTTGTGTGGATTTTGTTCCCAAGCTTTGTTCTTTAATCACGTTATAAATGGTGTTCTCCCTAATGGAATATTTTTTGTCACTTGGGAAGCTTGACAAGTTTTGAGAGTTGGAGTAATGACTGCCTCGAGCAAGTTGCAAGTATTTTCTTTCTCTTTTTCTAAGTATCTTGGGTGTTTAGGTATAAGTGGCCCCATGATACCCATACCATTAGATGCTGGCGCATACTCAGCTACTCACACTCCTGGTTAATGACCTTGGCAGCATTACAGAAGAGATTTTTGCTTTGTCTCCATTTTATATGCAACTTCTGTAACATATTAGGCACACAAAGTCATCTGTATCAGGTAGTCCAATCTTTAGGTGTACCGTGCCATCCATTATTCTTGACTCTCTCCTTTTCTCTTGGTGTTTGTTGTACAGCTGTCTTAGGAATCCTGAGCAAAATCTTATTGGGTTTTTGGTTTATACTGAAGGAAGAAGACTTTCAGTATAAAATTTAATATGGAGTATGGGTGTGTGTGAAGTTTTAATGCTGCCAAAAGCAAGAGACGACTGTCCTTGAATCGCTTTGAAAATGACTTACTACAGCGATCTCTTTTCTTCCTTAATGGGCTTAATATTGATTATTTCAGTTTGATGCATTAGTATATGGTAAATGCCCTTGCTTTTCCCCTTCCAAATGAAACTAATAGTTGAGCTCAGCTAAGTGTGATAAATCCAGAGCTTGGAGACATTATTTTAGGGGCATGTAAACACTGGAGGACATAGAGATTCCTAGAGAGGTGTTTTTTCTAGAACAGTGGTTTTTAACCTGTGGACCACCAGTGGACTGTGAAGACAAAAATCTGGTCTTCGAGTATCCTTCCTCTTTATTTTATTTTATTTTCGCTCCTTTTGCGCCACCTGCCAGTCCTTCGCTGTCACTGACCAGCCCCGATCCCTTGGATAGACCACATCAGCTCTAGATTATTAAATATGGGTTTCTGTGGGCGAGTAGATTTACTATTTATTTATTTATGACATTCTACACTGCCTTTCTCTCCCCGACATATAGGCAATGATTCGATGCCTTAAAACACAATGTATGCTTAAATAAATATAAAAATAAAATTTTTAAAAGTACATTAAAAACAAAACATTTAAAAACAATACAGATGGCAACTACTGGATGGCACATGTTCTGTATCAGAAACTAGAGCTGATGTGGTCTATCCAAAGTAATTTTCTGAATCAGCACCCCAAATAACCGAAGCAAATCTAAAGTTAACCAAAACTGATTCGTAATCCTTTTGGTACTAATGTTGGAGAATGGTCCCTGTTCAAATGATCCCTGGCCAAAAAAAGGTTGGGAACCTCTGCTGTAGAAAGACTGGTCACCCTAGAATACAACCTAGAAATTTCTAGAGAAATGTTTTAAATCAAACCTGTGAATAATCAAATCTGCAAAAGTCAAAAACACAAATGTGGAGGTACAACTTTACAAACATATTCTATTTTAGTGCTTGTAATTTTTTTAGCTTTCAAATTGTATATTATATTGTTTTAGTGTTAGCTGTTTTGGGTCTTCTTTTAGATAAAGGGATAGAAATAATAATAATAATAATAATAATAATAATAATAATAATAATAGCAGAAACAGCAGGAAGAGCAACAAAAAGCGATGAAGGAAAGCATGACCCCTTCTTTCTCAGCCCCACATGTCTTTGTGATGGTGAGAATATGAAAAAAAAGTTAGGGTTGTTTGAATTATAACTCCTCAAATTCTAAATTCTTCATGTTGGGGATTCTGGAAGCTGTAATGTACAAATATTGACTTTTCCAAACTCTGTTGTGTATATGAATTTAATTTTAAAATCTGGGGTATAATTGTGGAGTCAAATTCCAAACATTAGACCCAAGTCTTATTACTTACTTCAGGGTAAAATAAAAAGTAAAATTAAGCTGCCCTATGCATTTACCTTTATGTATAGTTTAACTTTTAGCTGAGCAAATATTTCATACTGGAACATCACTTAGTAGATCCTCGGTGTTAGACTAGTGTAATATCTACTATTGTGACATAGGCTTTTACTGAATTAGTTGCTCTTTTTTTACCAGCAAACATTGTGTAATATTACCTGTGGTTCTTTGTTGTAGTTTTTGGATACGTGTTCTGTGGTTGTACAAAATATGGCGAGTGACAAAGTGATTTCAACCCCTTCCTGCAATCCTTTCAGTTAATTGTGTGTTTTTCCTCCCTTTGTGCTGTGCGGCTGATAAACCTGGCTAGGACCCTGCAGTGGGACACAGACCCTTCAGTGCTCCAGCTTCAGTCGGACTCTGAACTTGGGTATATGTCCACTCTCATTATTCTTATTATTTTGTTTTATTATGACTTTATTTGCATGAGTTATGTTGAAATGGCTTTCCAGATGGGCTTTTCCTTATGTCACTCTGTCCATGTGTGTGTCTATATTTAGATACATATTTCTATATATAGATACAGTTTTCATGAGGCATTACATCTGTTTTTGTAGGAAAAAGGAAACCTCTCACATTTTTAAAAGATTTAGAATCTGGGTGTAGGTTTCAATGTATGTATGTGTGCATTCATTTTAACGACAGTGTCAAAAAGGATGTTAGATACCTTCCCTTCCTGAGAAAACAGATGTAAAGTTATCTGAAAACAGCAACATTTCTGACCCAATGCAAGCTGAAATTTGTTTTGTTTTGTTTTTACATTTATATCCCACATTTGTATTATTGACCTGAAAGCAGTGTATTGTTTATCTGTTTAACCTCTGGGTTGTTGTGAGTTTTCCGGGCTGTATTGCCATGTTCCAGAAGAAAACACGAATCAAGGAAGATGAAAGGCACTGCAGACTACTTCAACTAGAGAAGTCAGCCATAGCAGAGCACTTGATGAACCAACCTGGACACAGCATATTATTTGAAAACACAGAAATGCTGGACCACTCTAACAACCACAATGTCAGACTACAAAGAGAAGCCATTGAAACCCACAAGCATGTGGACAATTTCAACAGAAAGGGGAAAAAAACATGAAAATTAACAAAATCTGGCTGCCAGTATTAAAACACCCTCTAAAATCATAACAGTAAGTAAAGAACAACATTCCAAAACAGGGGAATTCCAGACAAGAAACAATCAGAACTAGCTAATCACCTCCCAACAAATGATTCCCCCAGACAGTAAGAAGCCAAACCTTTAAACTGCTAGGCCATTGAATGCTAATCAAGGTGGCCAATTGAAACATTCACACTTGCCTCGAATAGACAAGCATTCTTTCTCCCACCCTGGACATTCCACAGATATATAAACCCCATTTTCCTAGTTTCCAACAGTCCTCTCAACCTTTGAGGATGCCTGCCATAGATGCAGGCCAAATGTCAGGAGGGAATGCTTCAGGAACATGGCCATACAGCCTGGAAAACTCACAACAACCCAGTGATTCCGGCCATGAAAGCCTTCGACAGTACATTGTTTAACCTCTCTCCCTCCACTCTGTACTATTTGATTTTAGGGCAGCATACAAATAAAAGCATCCAAAGCAAATTGAAATATACTTGAAATATGCAAATAAGGAATAATTTCAGGAGACTGAAAGCATATGAAAGAGTTTTCACTGTTTAATGTTCAGAGCAAGTTGATCAAGTTGAGAGACTGGCCACAATAATTGAGCTTTATGGTTCAGTGGCAACTTGAACCTGAATCTGCCAAACCTTAATCCACACTTCTGACAGTGACACTACACTGGTTTAAAAAAATGCTCAGAAAGAAGGACAACTATACTATTTGACCTGAATCCTTACAGTAGTTCCTAGTGCAGACTCATTGAATCAGCTGTTGAATATTTCTCAATACTTACATTGCATAGCACATATTCTAATATTTCACAGATCAAAACTAGGACATACATTTCAAAGCAACATCCGAGTGGTTGAGATGACAAAATTATTACTGAGGAAGAACATATATGTTAAGACCCTGTTCAGCTTTTGCCAGAGCCTGTTGGAAAGAGTAAGACTCTGCATCTTCCTCTATTCTCTTTTCAATAGAATCAATTGAATTAAACTACTTTTTCATTTTGAATGGAATTTGCAACAATGAAAGTAACCTGAAAACAAAGAGGGAAAGTGGGAGGAGGAAAAAAAAATCAATATTTGGGATAACAGAGAACTGTCCTTGTCAAATTTTGATAGAATGTTTGTTATTAATTCACTGGGTCTATATTAAGTAAGAACACTGGTTTGATTCAGGCCCTTATGTTATAATACAATACAGTATGTTGATAAAAACATATTCAAAATTTGGGATAACAGAGAAATGTCCTTGTCAAATTTTGATAGAACTTCACAACCTCTGAGGATGTCTGCCACAGATGCAGGTGAAACATTAGGAGAGAATGCTTCTAGAACATGGCCATACAGCCTAAAAAAATCTACAACCCATTTGATAGAATGTTTGTCATTAATTCACTGGGTCTATATTAAGTGAGGACACTGGTTTGATTCAGGCCCTTATGTTACAATACAATATATTGATAAAAACATATTAATTATATTGAAAATAAAATGTTAGTGTTGCATGTTTATGAAATAGTAGCATCCATGTAGATACATCCTAACAGCATGTTCATCTCCCATGTAATCGGTTTGTCAATGATAGGCCTCACTTTGTTTGCTGGATATACAGGCAGCCCTTCACATTCACAGGTTTGACTTTTTGTGAATTTGATGATTCGTGGATTGAAATGTTTTCTCTAGGAATTTTTAGGCCTTCCAGTGTCACTCTATGATTAACTTCCCCTGGAAGAGAGAAGACATCTAGAAATTTCTAGGTCGTCCAGTGTGATTCTCTTGGAAGTTGACCATAAAGTCATTCTGGAGGACCTAAGAGATTCCTAGAGAGGTGCTCTCTCAATTTAAAACGTGCATTTTTAAAATTTGCAGTTTTTCCACTTGCAGGTGAGTGGTTGGGCAGTTCCTATGGCCTTAACCACAGTGAATGTGGAGGGCTGACTGTATTCTCTTAATATCTGATCAAGCATTCTTCTCTTTTCTCTTTAGAAAATTTATTTTTGAAAACTGAAAGTTGCTTATCAGTACAGTTTGTACAAATTTGACCCCTTCAGTACAATATTTGTCACACTTTGATATAATATTTTAATTCTAATCTTCTTTAAAAAATATTTCAAGGAATACATAATGCCACCCCACAAATAATTTTGCAGACAAAATAGCTGTCCAAGGAAGACTAAGCTGAGAGGTGGCATTTGTCTCAGTCAACCATAAAGCTTGATGGTTAGATGGAAATTTGAAACAAGACCTCTGCAGTCTAAGTTCAGTTCAGTTAAGATCTATTTAACATCATACAATGCGTGCTTTTGAAAATCGCTAGAGGGCTTCCAATACTTTCTTATTTCTTATTATTTTTTTATTTGGGGGCATATTGGGAGGTTTGTGTGGTTTCCCAAAGTGTCCAGGGGCTAGAGGATTGGCTCCTTGACCAATGTCCAGTACAATGTTGATTTCCTGTTACTTACACTAACAAGTATAAGACCTATCACAAAAAGAGACATTTGGGTACTTGTAAGCAGTGCAAGTGGTAGTACCCTCTAAACTTTGCTTAAAGTAAGATTTTTACAAAGTTCCAAGGCATAAAAGAGCACAACAACTGTTCCTCACGTGCATATATCCATCTTCTCTTTCTCTCTATCTCTCTCAAACAAAGCCAAAGAAGTTTGTAAGGTGGGGAGAGATCTCATCCTAAAATTACTGAAACCCATAGGGTATACTGTAAGTACACTTCAATGCACCATTAATTATTATTTGCTTGTTTGTTTGTTTGTTCTAGCCGCCGTCTGCACAAGCTAGGTGTGTCAAAGGTGACCCAGGTGGACTTCTTGCCTCGAGAAGTAGTTTCATACTCCAAGGAGACCCAAACACCTCTGGACACTCATCGGTCTGAAGGTAAGTTAACAACTGTTGCTTACATTTTAGAACAGAATTTTGGCATCTTAAGAAAATTGTTCTGAAATGAGAAAAAGTTGTTAGTTGGATTTAAAATGGAATAAAGATCTTCAGTTCTTTGTTTTATTGGTTATTCAAATCATATATTTTCCTCCCAAACCACAGTTCTCATGTTTGGGTTATGTTCTTTTTGTTGGATATACAGGGAGCATGGGTGGCAATTATGCATTTTTCCCATCATTGGCTGGTATGCCAGCTATGATCTTGTCACAATCATACATGCATTGTACTACTTTAATATGGTGTACATAGGGTTGACTTTGTAAAGTGTTCAAGGAAATACTGCAGTTCATCATCATCATCGGTGATCCTTCATGGCCAAGTATGATTGCCTTCCAAGTACAGGGTCTTATTGGTGGTGAGTCTGTAGGTACCTATTCTTGATCTGCATGTTCTTTCACAGTGAGGACATCAATTTCCAGATAAAAGGTGGTCCTGACAAGGGTTGGCTTGACATCCCTTCCTCTTGACATGTTTCTCCCTTTCACTCTCCATTTGTGCCTCTTTGAATTCCACAGCACTGTTGTTCACAGCTGACCTCCAGTTAGAATGCTCGAGGACCAGGGACTTCCAGTTCTCTATACCACAGTTTTAAAGCCTCTTAAAACCCTTAAAAGAGGCATTTATAACTTTATTTATTTATCATTTTGAGTATTTATACACCGCTTTTCTCACCCCTAGGTGAGAAAATGTCCACCAACATTTCGCTTTCAGTTCTTGAGTTGAAGATAGAGTAACTGCTTTGGAAGATGTTGATCAGGCATTTAGACTACGTGGCCAGTCCAGCAAAGTCGATGGTGTGGAAGCATCGCTTCAGTGCTGGTGGTCTTTGCTTCTTTCAGAATGCTGACATTTGTCCACCTGTCTTTCCAAGAGATTTGCAGGATCTTTCGGAGGCAATGCTCATGGAATTGTTCCAGACGTTGGGTGGTCCACGTTTCACAGGCATATAACAGGGTTATACAAATGTCCCAATCCTCAAACACTCTCGGCTTCATTCGGAAAATGGTGCACTCGCAGAGCTCAGACAGTGTTTTAGTGTCAATGTCAACTTTTGTGAAGAGGTGGCTGACAAGGTAGCAGAAATGGTCAACATTTTCTAACATTACACCATTAAGCTGTATTTCTGGCATTGCACAGGGATTGGCTAGTGCCTGCTGAAAGAGCACTTTGGCTTTTCGTATGCTTCTGCAAAAGTGCTTAGAGTGGCTTGCAGGTCTTCTGAATAAGCACAGAATACATTATCATCAGCATATTGGAGTTCTATAACAGAGATTGTTGTGGCCTTGGTTTTGGCTTTCAGTCTGCTGAGGTTAAAAAGCTTGCCATCTATCTAATAGATGATTTCCACACTGGTGGTAAGTTTCCCATCAACAAGGTGCAGTATCATGGTGATGAAGATGGAAAATAAGATTGTGGCAATAACACATTGCTTTTTTCAGTTCTGAAGAATATACAGCTTTATATTGGTATGCTGTTTTTTTTAGAAACATATTAATAATGTATTTGTATAAAAAAACCATTTTCTGTGACCTTGGGATTATTTCAGACTATTAGTTAAAAGAGCAGCAAATACACATTATATATATTGGGTTTCTTGAGAAGATGTTATTGCATTTAGTCAATGTATGGCAGTCCATTTTGAAAGGCTATCTGCTACATGGAAAAGTTCTTGCTATATGGACTATAAATGACATTTCTGCCTCCATATCCTTCTCACAACCCTTTAAAATGATTCTAGACCAGTGGCTCTGAGACGCCTTAATACAGTTCCTCATGTTGTGGTAACCCCCAACCATAATTTTTTTTTGCTACTTCACAACTATAATTTTGCTGCTGAATTGTAATATACATATCTGACATCCGGGAAGTGTTTTTATTCACTGGGCGAATTTGGCACAAATACCCGATACGCCCAGATTTGTATACTGGGGGGGGGGGGGGATTTATTTTGTCATTTGGGAGTTGTAGTTGTTGGGATTTATGCTTAACCTACAATCAAAGTGAATTCTGAACACCACCAGTGATTGAATTGAACCAAACTTGGCACACAGAACTCCCTTTACCCACAGAAAATTCTGGAAGGGTTTGGTGGGCACTGACCTTGATTTTTGGAGTTGTAGTTCACCTTACATTCAGAGAGCACTGTGGACTCAAACAATGATGGGTCTGGACCAAACTTGGCACAAATACTCAATATCCCCAAATGTGAGAACTGGTGGAGTTTGGGGAAAATAGACCTTGACATTTTAGAATTGCTGGGATTTATAGTTCACCTACAATCAAAGAGCACTCTGAACCCCACCATTGATAGAATTGGGCTAAACCTTCCATACAAAAAGCCCATGCCCAACAGAAAATATTGTGTTTTCTGATGGTCTTTGGTAACCCCTATGACATCCTCGTGATCCCCTAACAGTCCCAACCCCCATGCTGAGAAATGCTGTTCTAGACTGTAAATGGTACTTACTTTCAAGAGGGGTACAGAAATTGTCTTCTAAGACCTTTATGCTTGTATAACTTACTTCGGGGCCAAACAGCAGCTGTGAGTATCTAATTGGTAGCCTGCAGCCTCATAGGAAAGTGCTCTCATCTTGTTAGTGTATATATGTTAATATAGAAAGACAGGAATTCTGGTCAGGGCTTTGAAATATTACTTTTTTTACACATTGATCCAGACTCTCACAGTCAATGGCCATGAACTTAACAGGGAACCTGAGAAAGGAACTTCCCCAAGTTCTGACCTTGATCACAGACCTTCAGGAGAGCACCTAGTTTATTTATGTGATAACAGAAATACCTATTTTAAAACTTTGTTCTTGCTGCCTGGCAGAAATCCCAGAGTGTGCCCAGACTCTATTTCTTCATTAATTATTGATGAAATGTGTACAGAGCATGCTGATGCTCACTTGAATTCAAGAAAAATATGTTGCTTGATGACAGGTAACTATGCAGGAGTGCTTTCAAATAGCAACGACTGAGTCTTTTTTAATAGGAATTCCCTTTATAGGTGGCATGAGCATATTTTTCCCCTTTCCAGATACTGTGCATATTTTTAAAAGTGAGTTTTAAGCTTCTATACTTCAGAAACTTACAAAGAGTACCCTCTAGTGGTATAATTTAAAACTGATACAGTAGGAGGAAATGGAAAATGACTAGACTTGATTATGGAAGCAAATTTGGAGTTTATTGGTGCTTCTGCAGTAAAATAAACACATTCTCCTTGAGCAGAAACATTGTTAAATTTTGGTTTGCTTTTATATTGGCCTTGGAGAACATTTACACATTTTTTGTAAAATGCACAAGATTGGAAAATCTAATAAGTGCTAGCTTACTGTAGTATGTGATGTTTTATTTGTGTATCTGTGATCTGTCGCCTTGTCCTGGTGTACTTGGCTATGTGTGCATGCGTGGGCAAATTTTGAATCCATGATGGAGGGACCTTCTTGTCTTCTGCTGGAGGTGAGATTTTTTTTTATAATAATCTTTATTTGAAATTTTTGATTAATGAAAGATTTTGATTTTGATTGATATATATATAAATTTCTAACAGAAAAAAGATAAAGGGGAGAAAAGAAAAAATATATAGAAAAGAAAAATGTTGGAGGTGAGAGTTTTGAAGGATTTAGAGCATTCTCGAGATGTTGCCTGGGTGTCATGTGACAGCCAATACTGATTAAAAACTATTGATAATCCCAGCTAAAACCCAATTAATTGTTAAATAGTGAGTCAACACTTATGTAAATCTTTTTGATTCAGTAAAGGTAAAAAAGGTAGTCCCCTGACATTAAGTCCAGTCATGTCTGACTCTGGGGTGTGGTGCTCATCTCCATTTCTAAGCCGAAGAGCCGGCGTTGTCCGTAGACACCTCCAAGGTCATGTGGCCGGCATGACTGCATGGAGCGCCGTTACCTTCCCGCCGGAGCGGTACCTATTGATCTACTCACATTGATCTACTCACAGCTAGGGCTGACAGCGGAAGCTCACGCCGCTCCCCGGTATCGAACCTGCGACCTTTCGATCAACAAGCTCAGCATCTCAGTGCTTTAAACCACTGTGCCACCGGTGTAGAGTACTTTAATTATGATTAACCATTGGATTTGGCCTTAAAGTGTAGATGTGTTTATGCTCACTTGAACATATTATTTACTGTCCCATGCAGATATGTAAACATCTTTTTTTTTTTGGATTTGCATATTAAGAAACTCCAAGAGAGGAGCTCCACTTCTCTACATATTTAATTATATCTTGTGTAGGTTGAATGTGTATATAGGGTTTATTACCATCACAGCAGTTTGCAACAAAAATACGACTGAGGTATGGCTATGGGAGGGCCTCGACAGTGGTGCAGCAGGTTAAACCACTGAGCTGCTGAACTTGCTGACCAAAAGGTTGGTGGTTCGAATCCGGGGAGTAGAGTAAGCTCCCGCTATTAGGCCCAGCTTCTGTCAACTTAGCAATTCGAAAACATGCAAATGTGAGTAGATCAGTAGGTACTACTTCTGCAAAAAGGTAATGGTGCTTCATGCAGACATGCTGGCCACATGACCTAGAAGGTGTCTATGGACAACACCAGCTCTTCGGCTTTAAAATGGAGATGAGTACCACTCTCCAGAGTCAGAAACATCAAGACTTAATGTCAAGGGGAAACCTTTACCTTCATAGCTATGGGGCTAGTCAGCATGGTGCAGATATTTGACTACAGATCTAAAGATTAGGATTCAAATCCCTGCTTGTACATGGAGGTCCTTGCATTAGTCACACTCTCTCAGCTTCAAAGAACAACAAAGGCAAAAGCTTTCTGAATAAATTTTGCCAAAAGGCCACCTTAAATCGAAAATGATGTAAAAGCAAACAACAACAATAGTTATGTGTGTTTGTATGTGAGAGCATGACAGCCCCAAATAAAAACTTTGCTCCACCAATTATCATTTTTCTTC